CGGGAAATGGGGGACATCTATAACTGTGTCAACAATTAAAAAATAAATAAATGAATGTGAAATTAGAGTTTTCTATGTTTATATTCCCAACTTTAAGAATGAATTTCTATATTTACCTCCACAAATAGGTAACTGATCATTAGGCAATCTTCTATCTTATTTGAACATTCTAACACTTTACATTGTATTTTTAATGCTGAGCAAAATTCTGCATCCCTGAAATTCCACTCAATTGTCCATAGGACAATTCTGTCATCTTGTAGTTGAAGCAAGAAAATTCAATTTCTCTTCCCAGCATGGTCCTTCAAATACATCACTCATGACCTTTTTGCATGCAATTTAGATCTCCACATCTCCATCAGTTGTCCTGTAAACATGATTTCCAGACTCTTTATCCTCATGATGATCGTTCTTCAGGTATTCAAAGGCCAATTAAAGCCCATATCAAATTTTATGGGGATTCTGACACCCTATGTGAACAGACAGTGCATTTACTCTTACAAAAGGCTATCTTAGCAAGGCTTAAACCTCTGTGATTAGGTTGGTAATTTCTCATTTTCAATGCACCCTCTCCCAAATACAGTTCTATTCATTCTTTGTGCTTTTTGACTCTTCCCTATGTCCTCGGAGCCTGACCTCTGGTGACTTCATCACCCAGATGTCTTTGTCCTCTGGCCTCCAGTTAGGTTCAACCGCAGACGACACTGGTAGGAAATCAGAAGATAGGGCTATAGCTCCCCACCTTTCTCAAGGCTTTGGGATGCCCTAGTTCCTTTAGACCTTGTTGGTTTCCACACCCCTTTGCAAATAATCTCTTTAGTAAAGTCTCCTCTGTGAAATGCTTTTGAGAATACCACCTCTTTTCTGCTGGAATCCTGACTGGTAGACTAGATGTGTTGCCATATACTAGGGTAGAGGGAAGTGAAAATCATAATAGAAACAAAGATACAGATAAGAATGCAGTGTGCATAATCCAAAATACAAAGCTATATATATGTATATAGCTTCAAATATATATATATTTAAAGATGAATTTATATTTACTAAATAAAATATAAATGATTAACACTTTTTCTCTTGGTGCCAATTTGTGGGGATTTACAAAATTATCTGCACCCCTCAGAATATGAGTAAAAGAAAACAAAAGAAACAAAGAAATAAAATAAAACTGAGATCAGACCATTTTGTTCCACTATTGAAGTACAATATAATTGGGAAGATAAAGACTCATTCATGAAACATGAGAGAGATTAAGATTTAATGTAGTCTTAAGAAGCAAATGCTAAGTATATATGCAGTACATGTGAAAAATTTGGCTGATTTTAGGGGTTAATGATTGTGATGATATGCTCCCTCATCACCTCCTAGAAAGAGAGATGAATAAACACTTAGGTGCTTGTTTATTACCATATAGTACTCTTGGCCCTACCTAAGTTTTGTTTTGAAAAATACTTTGAGTCAGATCTTGTTAAAGTGAAAAATTTTTAAAAATTCTTACATGAAGGTTCTTGAGGTTCTTAAAGTCTCCACCTTTGATTTCAGTTATTTTGTTATTTTGCAGGTCCAGCAGCGTAGTGTCGGGAGGAAGATCTTTTGGCACTTTGTCCAGACCTAGTATGGGAATTAACCGGCGTTCAGTCAGTAAAATATGACACATTACTACAGAATCACAAAAGATGTGTTTACCAAGAAATTACTGTTACAATGATTGTTTTACAAGTACCATGTTTACTTCTGCTAGGCGTTATATCAATTGTAGTTTAAAATATCTGCTTTACCTTTTCCAACCAAGTCCAATGTAAACAGAATACATTATTTTATTATGTAATTACTCTTCTTCATAAAAGAAAAAATATTTTGTAAAAATGTACTCAAATAATTAGTACACAGTGTATTATTATACCTCATTGTTCTTCTTTTAAAAAGTTATTCTTTTGATAAGTATTAAGTGCTAGTTATTTGTAAATCCATAACTTTTACATAATATCGTGTCAGTAAAGAGCTTTAGCCAAACAATCAGGTAAAGATCCTTTTGATAAACCTAACACTGTCACAGATCTACATTTAGAGGTATAATTATATAAACACGCAACCATATTGTTGCATCAACAACTTTAAAATTTGTCCAAACTTTTGGGAGTTCTTTTCATTTTAATTGGAATACCAACACAATATCAATTTTAGTTAATGTTTTATGACTGATGGATATGTGGCTAATTAGAAGAAAATAAATTTAAATTGTTAGTGTAGCTTATCTAAAATTCATTATATGAAGCACTCTTTTTGCACTTTAAATTTTGGTCTAAATAACTGAGTTATTGGTTTTAGTTTATAAATGTAAGCACATTAACTAAACAAATGTTCTTATGGTATTAAAAACATATTTATTCAACTAGATGTATAAGGATGAACTGTTTTTATTCAAAAGGAACTGCATTTAAAAATAAGTCATCATTTTTAATGTTAATGGAAAAAATATTAAATTATATATCTGTTTGCCTTTATTACATTGACTTTGTTTCATATTGATGAAAGATGTTACTCAAAATTTGAGACTCTATTAACTCAAGCTCATGTGATCGTTTCTGTATTTTAAAATTGTATAACAAATCAGAAATGTTTTTCAACCTTTCCATCATATCTGAAACTTGAAGTACTGAAGACCATTCTTTCATTCATTCAACAATGTTTTATTGAATACCTCCTAGACACCGTGAATTTATTAGGCCCAAGAGATAGAACAGGAACAAGACAAAAATTGTCCACATCATCATGAAAAATACAATTCAATGTACAGCTTTCAGTGTTTTAAAAAAAAGTTGCAACCGGGTTTATAATAACTGCTATGCTGGGAAGAAGATATCTTTCTAATTTTGAATCTTACATAAGTGCATACTGGTAAATTACCATGGTAGCCATATTTTATCTTTATGTCTTCTATGGAAATTACAGAAAATATATCTGAAATCACCTGCTCTGAAAAAAAGTTTAGTTTACAATTCAGTGATCAACAGTTGTTTTAAATGTGAATAGTAAAATGCAGGTGAGAGGAGATCGGGCACCTTCACCTTGTGCTACAGCATGGAGGGACCTGTAGAATATTACGCTGAGTGAAATAAGCCAGTCAGAGAAAGACAAGTACCATAGATTTCACTTATATATAAAATATAATGAACAAAATAAACTAGCAAACAAAGCGGACACAGACACATGGATACAGAGAAGAGACTGACAGCTATCAGAAGGGAGGGTGCTGGGCGCTGGGTGAGAAGCACTAAGGAATTAAGCAAAGAAAAAAAGAAAAGAAAGACTCATGGACACAGACAACAGTGTGGTGACTGCCAGAGGGTGAGGGGATGTGGTAGAAGGGAAAAGGGGGATAAATGGTGATGGAAGGAGGCTTGACTTGGGGTGGTGACACACAATACAATATACAGATGATGTACTGTAGAATTATAGACTTGAAATTTGTATAATTTTATTAACCAATGTCCCCCCCCAAATTCAATAAAAAATAAATAAATGTTTAAAAATAAAATAAAATATAGGTGATTCTCAACATGCATAAATTAGATTCCAAGAACTCACAGAAACAGTTCACAGAGAAATAACAAGAGTACAGTGTTTTCAGTGAGAAACAGCAAACCAACCATCAGAACCTTGTAGGAGGGTTATTCAACTACACAATGTTGTGATCAGTGCCCTTTTCAGAAATACCAGTTTGATGATTTTATGCAATTAGGAGTGATAGACGTCTGCAAAATCTTTGATAATTAGTGTTCTCCAATCAAGAAAAGGCACATTTCCTTTCATTTGAAAAGAAGTTACTGACTACATTTCCTCATTACTTCATAAGCGTCTTTGTCAGTCTTAATTTCCACTTATGCTTATTTTCACACATGTTGGGCTTAAATTCTACTGGCTCTCTTACCATTTGTTCACTGCAAAAGCACTACTAAATTTCAGATGTGAAGAGAAAGAAGTGATATATTTGGATGGCTGACAGTTTTAATTATGTGGTCATCCTAGATTTTATAACAACAGGAAATGCTTGGGGTAAATTAAATACTTTTTTTCTGAAGATTTTGCATAAAAACATCTTTATGCATTGTCATTTTTGTAGTTCAGTTCTTAAAAGTCATTTTAATGATCAAAATTATATTCCTACAATCTTCTCTGAAATACTAGTAAATTCATATCTGTTTGGGGGATTTCACATATCATTATTTTATTATTAAAATTTTATGTATTTTTACAGTTTATAAAAAATAAAAATAATGTTATCTTATTGACTTCACAACAATTCAGTCAGATAAGTGGGGAGTATGATCATTTCATTTTTCAAGATGATTTTTAGAAAAGTTTAATGAGATGAACAAGCTCATGTAGCTAGGAGTGACAAAATGCAGGCCAGAAGACAAACCTGCTGACTTCCAACAGGATGCTTTTTCTGTCTTACCTATGTATACCCCAACAAGAATTGTTCTGACAGCAGACCCATTTAAGGGCAAGATAGAGCATTGGGGTGTTAACTAGCTTGTTGGACAACAATAGATAGAGATTAATGGGGAAATTATCCTAGTTATGAGTTCTCAGAAAGAGGACTGTTAAGTATCAGCTAGTCTATGGTTCCCAAGTGCTGAGCAGGTAGACTCTATGATGTTCTTATCAGTCTATATCAAAATGAGGAAAAAAAATGAGGGCAATTTGCTTAGTTTTAATATAAATTATCACACACGCACAACACAGACATACACACACACACACACACTGCCTTCATTTAAGAAATAACCTCTATAAAAATAATGATTCTAATAGCAGATGGCAAGTTGTTATTTTGTTGGATTTGGTTTAGACTTCAATAAAAAATTAACTTGTTTAACATTCAAAAACCTTTACTTGTCCTAGAAATCAGGGAACTTCTAAGCTAGTCCAATAATCTCTTTCCATATGTAAGAAAAGAAACACCTAATGAAGTTAAATGGCTTATACGAGATGCTTCATAGCTAAAATAGACCAAGACCAAGACCAAGATGATATGAGTCCACACTTGAACTACCTAATGTGCCATTTATGTATATAAATTTTCCGCAAGGCCCTGGCCTGTGTGGCTCAACTGGTTGGAGCATCGTCCCGTACACCAGGAGGTGACAGGTTCGATTCCGCTCAGGGCACGTACCCAGGTTGCAGGTCCCATCCCTGGTCAGGGCACATGCAGGAGGTAACTTATTGACGTTTCTCTCTCACATGGATGTTTCTTTGTCTCTCTCTAAGCTTAATCTTAAAAATTATTTTATATCTATATATATATATATATGTGTATATATACATACTTGCATGTTTTTAAAAGATGCTGATCAGTGTTTTCTCTTGAACATACTGTGCTTATTCTTAACTACTCATTTTTGTTTATATAATTTATGTGTATGGAATATGCCACCCATTCATTTCCTCTTACTTCCATTCTAACAATCCTTTCAAGCACTCATCAGCCTGCCTTATAATATTGATCCTAACCAACCCAGATAATGATGACCCCCACCCTACAAATTCCTTGTGTATATGCTTCTGATGTATAATACTGCACTTTAGATTTCTTTCTTTTCAGTAAGTTCTAGGTAAGGAAAAATTACTATGTTTCATCAGAGCTTTGATCTTAATGCTTTACATACAGGAGGTAGCTTTTTGATTGATTCATTTTAAAATCATAGTCTGCCTTGCTGTCCCATGGTGAGCAGTTCAGGTCATGGCTTCAAAGTCTTTTCTGCTCTATTTTTTTACAATCATCTCTTCATATCCTGCTCTCATGAGAGTTCCTATTTTTCCTCAGAAGTATTAGGATACAACTGGCTATAAGAATCATAATTTTCTTTCTGATTCTTGGTTGTCGAAGAACATTTTAGAAATGAATGCTGCTATCAAACATATCATTCCCATTATCTACACCTGAAAATTGCTCTCACTGTCTTATGTGTCTTTGACATATTTGTGAGGAACCTTTTATCACATATGTATCTGCTGAAGACTGCCTTTTCTGTCCCAAATGGTGACTGATCCAGTGGTAACAGTTTCTTCGCACGCCATATATTTCTCATACTTCTTGTGGAGAAGGATTGGTTATAACTCTTGGAGGGAGAAATAGATCCTCAAGTATGGATTAGTATTGTCAAAAACAAACAAATAAACAAGCAAATAAACAATTAATGCTGAATCTGATTAAGCCTCAAGATGTAGCTCCCAATTTACAAGAAGTAAAGAGGTCAAAGAAACACGCTAAAGTCTACTAAAGTGATGGCTTCAACAAAACCCAATTTCTTCAAAAAATAGATTGCATGGAAATATGAAGAAATATTGGTGAAACTGTAGTTTAAAAGAGACATAAGAGCTATTTAAATTATTGCAATGTATGTACTGCATTTAGACCCTGATTCACACAAGTAAACTATAAAACACTTATAACATTTATAAGATGATTGAAAATCTGTACACTGAATGAATATTTGGTGATATTAAGAAACTGTTTTTAATTTTATATATAATCAGGTTGTTATGTTTGTGTTATATATGAGTTTTAAACTTTCAGAGAAATATACCGATATTATTTGTTGGAT